CGCCGTCGTTTAGACCCTAATATGACGCCTACATTTGGTATTTTTAAAATTTTAATAGAATTTTTCACGGTATTTATTTTTTGAAAATTGCCAAATCCGTTCCAAAGGGTGGAGGGTATTCAAAGTTCGGCCCGGCCTTTATTTGATTGTGTATCATATCAGAACGTATCTCAAACTCTGAATCAATTTCCACTAAATTTGACGGAGGCATTTGTACGTCTCATATCAAATAACATTGCTATAGGGTACATGATATCACTTCAAGAAGAAATATATTATGAAATATATATGTTATCGAGTTTCACGAATTGGAAAAGTTCGGTTAAATGTTGAAAAATCAACCCAATTTAGGCTGATATCACATGTTTGGTGCCCAATAACCGTGAAATCGGATGAAGATAGATATGGACCTATATCCAAATATGACAGAGTTATTTTTTAACTCTATGATGTGGAGTGCATATTATCAATGTAAGGGACTTTAACACCAAATTGGTTGAAACATATATGAGAGGTATAGCTATATCTGAACCGATTTTTACCAAATATGAATTGTTTGCTTCTAGTCTAAGATTGGTCGGAAATGCCTCAATTTACTTCATTTTGGACATTTTAGACATTTGGTGCACAATAGCCGATTCTCACCAAATTATATATATTTCGTCCCTGAGCAAAATAAATCGCATAATACCCTGAAAAAATTCTAGATCTTCAAAATTAATTGCAATTTACCTAAACTGTTTAAATCACTTAACACAGGTATCTAAAGCTATTATGATATAATAACAATAGAGTAGAATAATTGGTACTGAGAATTGACCAAACACTTCTACGTTTTGACTGTACAGCCAGATTTAAGGTATATTTGTTGTTTTAGCATTTACAGTAAAATGACAATTTGTGTCCCATGTATGTTGAAAATACTTACAAAGAACTGAAACATATAGATTCAAGTTTAGATGTGTCCATCTAACTCTATCTCCCGATATGCGGTATATTGATGATTTGTATCATATTTTCTCCCTGGAATTGTATCAAATTTAAAATTTGGTGTTTAAAATGAGTCCCATTTCCACCGACAGAAAATTGCTTACACAGGTCTTCGTATAACCCTTATATAACGTTGCTTGCCAATATTCGGTATTTTGACGATTTATGACACATTTTTATACGTCCAATACGTCCAAAACGTGCCTAGTCGCAATAATTACAGCAAGATCGGGTGTGAGAACGGACACGATCGGACTACTGCTTCTAGTACCTTCCCCACAAAGGTCCGAATTTGGAATACTTATAACGCTCATAAAATCCGAAGTATACAGCAGATTCTTTTCAAACTTTCAACCAATCCAATATTTTTACCGTTACTAAATTGCATTTTATGAGTCTTTTGGTTATTCAAAATATCCGATCAAAGTTCGCACATCCTAATAGTTCCACCAAAAGAAGATCTGATGTGAAGATGGGAAATATCGGTCCACTCCTTCTAATAATTATAATAACTATTATAAAATGTGAAATGATAAGACTCTTATTGTCGTCAAATTTTGAAAATCCCAATATTCTTAGTAGTACAAGAGTAAAGACCTGAAATGGTAAAGACCAGACAAAATGCATTCTGAGAAAATGGTTTGTATCTACAATACATAGAGTAACAGCTCATGACAGAGGCATATTAATATAAACAAGTAAAAAAGCAGTAAGTTCGGCCGGGCCGAACTTTGAATACCCTCCACCATTTGGAACGAATTACAAAATTTTCAAAAAAAATCCATTAAAAATTCTTTTATAATCTTTAAAACATCTAATATAGGAAGGTGCCGATATATGGGGGGATATTCGATATTGTGGACCTATAAAGATAAATCTATGTGTGCGTGTAAAGTACTCACAAGGAACTCCTTGTGTGGATTTTCAGATAATTCAATTGGAAAAAGTGGCTAAAATCATCAAAATACCGAATATCGGGGGTACCGTAATATGAGGGCTATACGATATCGTGGACGTATATAGATAATTCTCTGCCAAAGTATAAAGTACCCGCAAGGAACTCCTTGTGTGGATTTTCAGACAATTCGGATGAAAAATGTGGGTAAAATCATAAAAATACCGAATATCGGGGGGTACCGTTATATGGGGGATATACGATCTCGTGGACCTATATAGACAATTCTTTTTGAGGGGGTAAAATGCCCACAAGGGACTCCTTTTGTGGAATTTCAGACAATTCCATTGAAAAATGAGGCTAAAATCATCAAAATGCCGAATACCGGGGGGTACCGTTATATGGAGGCTATATAATATTGTAGACCTATATAGATAATTCTCTGCCGAGGTATAAAGTACCTACAAGGAACTACTTGTGTGGATTTTCAGACAATTCCATTGAAAAATGTGGCTAACATCATCAAAATACCGAATATCGGGGGTACCGTTATATGGGGGCTATACGATATCGTGGACCGATATAGTCCATCTTCGAGCTTGACCTGCCTGCAGACAAAAGAAAGATTTGTGCAAAATTTTAGCTTCCTATCTTAATTCGTTTAGATTGTAGCGTTATTACAACAGACGGACAGACGGACGGACAGGGCTAAACTGTCTTAGAATTTTACGCTGATCAAGAATATATATACTTTGTTGGGTCTAAAATGATTATTTCGATGAGTTACAAATGGAATGACGAACTTAATATACCCTCCATACTTTTTTTGGTGGAGGGTATAAAAAAGTTAAGAAGCAGTAAGTTCGGCCGGGCTGAACTTTGAATACCCTCCACCATTTGGAACGAATTTGGAAATAAAATCTTAAAAAATCTGTTAAAATTTTAAAAATACCGAATAAAGCCGTTGTATTGGTGTCTAAACGACGTGGACCTACATAGGCATTGTTTGTCATAAGTAATTACCAAATTCAAATTAGAAACTTGAAATAAACCTAAAATCAAAATATCGTATATAGGGAGGTACTGTTATATCGGAGCTGTGCGAAGACCTGGACCGGCATAGACAATTTTCTGTAATAGGCTGTAACATCCATTACGAACTTCAAATACGACATCTCAAACAATTTCAGTGGGTATTGTACCTAAACTCGTCAAAATACCGAATTGAGGACGTACTGATTGTAGGGCCTATACGAAGCTCTTTTCTGTCACAGACTGTAGTTCCCATTCCTAAATACGTAATTTGAAACAATTCCGGTGAATAATGACACTAAAATCATCACAATATTGAATATAGGGAGGTACCGTTATATGGGGGCTATATGAAGACGTGAACCTGCACATACAATTTTCTGTCTTAGGCTGTAGTATCCATTTCGAACTTAAAATACAAAATTTGAAACAATTCCGGTGAGTGATGTCGCTAAAATCATCAAAATACCGAATATCAGGAGGTACCGTTATATGGGGGCTATATGAGAACGTGGACCTACGTGGCCCATTTACGAACTTAATCTGCCTACAGGAAAAATAAGCATGTGTGCAAAATTTTAGCCTTATGTCTCAATTCGTTCGAAAGATAGCATGATTACAACAGACAGACGGTCAGACATACAGACAGACAGGCGGACATCGCTAAATCGACATTTAATGCTGATGAAGAACATATATACTTTATGGGTTCTAAAATGTATATTTCGGGGTGTTACAAACGGAATGACAATCTTAATATACCCTCCATACTATGTTGTTATGGTATCATAACAACAGAAGTATTTTTCACAGGGTTGCCATATTTTGACATATTATATATTATCTTTAAACTTCTACGTCTTTGCAAGAGTTGGTATAATGGACGTATAGATCGAACTTTTCCTTCCGATACCTCCCTGATAACGGATAAATATTTTGAATAAACAAACATAAGACAAATTGAAACAACCTAATACTACACAAGATCTAGTGTGGAGATATAATATATCGGTACTCTCTTTCTGGTACCACCCTCACAAAGCGTCACTTTTTTAAATAATTATAAATATATATAAATATAATTGCACAAACATTTTTAAAATCAAAACAAATTTGTTTTGATTTTTTGTGAAGAATTTCAGCTGAAAATAATTTTTCTTTTGTTAAAAAGCTAAATCTCGTAAATTTATAACCCATATCCGTGCGAAACTCTTAAGGTAATGATTAATATCATATCTGGGAATCTGTGGTATTTATTATTGCAATCTAATTTCAGAATGGAGGCGTCAAAAAGGTTGAAAGAATTCAATAGAAGTGAAGTATTAGTGGAGGAGATGCAGGTATCAAGGCAACAGAGGGCAATAACAGCTAGAATGGCCATCAATGAATAAAATGTGTAAGATAATTAAAAAATGAAAATTACCATTACAAAATGAAGCTTAATATAATATTTTTCTCAGGATTTTCTCAGCTCAAGCTTAAGTCTTATGTTCGTATGCTTATTGTAATATTATTCTCAGGCCATTTCGTTATGTTGGGTTATAACACATTACATAAAGCTTTACACCACCATTTTATGTCTGTATTAGCTTTTGAAAATGTAGCAAAGACAACAATCATTTAGGGACTGGCATACAAATAAGTGGAAAAGTGGAAAAATAATATGGAACAGCTCATTGTTGATATATTTCAGCAGGTGGCGTTGGTAATAGAAAACGAGTAAAAAGTAGTCAATTTCGAAATTTTTATACCATCACCATAAAAAAAAATTAAATAAAATTCATCAAAATACCAAATATCGGGGGTATGATTATATGGATGTGAACCTCTGCAGCCGAAAATTGTCTTCACATCCATATAATCACAATTTTTATTATTTTTTATTTAATTTTTTCTTAATGGTGGATGGTATAAAAATTTCGAAATCGAATGCTCTCTCGTGCAGTCAGACAGACTGACGGACATCGGGTATAAAACGTCTACCACACAGCTCTGTAGTATAAAATATTCTACTTTGAATTAAGAGAAAAGTATTTAAAAAAATATGAGAACTCAATTCTTCATTGAAGTCAATAATCTCAGCAGTTCAGTATCAGTGCATCGTTTGCCCATCAAACAAGCAGTTCGCAAATGCGGACGAATTGCAGTTTCAAATATTAGTAAAGCAATAACAATGAAGTGTGGATTAATAATATTTATTTTCTTGATAGCACTCTGGCTAAGTTTGGTGATGGGAGATGAGGGGTATGTTAAGTCTCGCCAAGTCACGTGATTTACAATTCTTGATCAATTAATTAATTTGTTTATTTTTGTACATTGCCTTGTAGTTACTATTCCATCATCGCACCCGGCACACTTAAATCGAATCGAAAATACAGTGTTGTTCTAACGTTACACGATGCCACCGAACCGGCTACAATACGTTGTGGCATTGTGGGACCCTCATACAATCACAACGAAGAGGTGGTTTTACAGCCGTTCGCATCACAACAACTCGATTTTATGCCAGCAAAACTTAAACCGGGCAATTATTTATTTTTTGCTGAAGGCCTCAGCGGATTATCGTTTAGAAATGAGACGATGCTGTTGTTGGAGGAAAATGCCGGTCCACATATTTATGTACAAACTGATAAGGCGGTATACAAACCATTGGATTTGGTACAATTTCGAGTTTTGATCCTCGATGAACATACCAGACCAGTGAATGTTACTGAACCCATACGCGTTGAGATAATGGTAAGTGTGGCATATTTAACAACAGAACAAAGATTGGAAATGAAATAATTACAATCTAATGGCAAATAGATGGGAATTATTTAAAAGCAAAACCGAAGATTGTAATATAAACCTAGTAAACAAAGGTTACAGTCGGGCGGGGCCGATCGTTAAATATTCTATAACACTATAATAATACAGTTTATATTGGAGGGATACTCGAATGAATATAGTGTAATAAATAAAAAATATTCATTCGTAATATCAGGATAAAATGTTTAACTTTTTTTGTTGAATTCCAATTTAAAACCAGTAAAGAAAGTCTTAAAGTCGGGCGGGCCGACTCTATGATACCCTACACCACTTTGCTAATTTAGTAGAGCTGCGCATAACAATTAAAATGTTTTACGGGAGAATTCAATCATACACGATATGATTATAATTATAATTTAAAGTTCAAAGGACTAAATATGCCGAAGCATTCGCAGTTGGAACAAAATTAATTTGAAATCAGATAAATATACTTATGGGAGCTATATCCACATCTGAACCGATCTCGATAAAATTTGGCAAAGACGTTTCTGAGCTGTATTTGATATATTTCCCTGAATATCGTTGTTACGGAGTGCATATTACGGCTGTGGGTAACAACTATAACAAATCGGATGAACAGTATATATGGGAGCTATAGCTATATCTGAACCGATATTTACCAAATTTGGCATACTACCTTCTAGACTCAATTTGGTCGTATGTGCAAAATTCCATCCCATTTGGGCAAATATTAGACGTTTGGTGCACAATAAAAGCTAAATCGGACGAAGTTATATATGGGAGCTATATCCGAATCTGAACCGATCTCGATAATATTAAGCAAATGCATTTCTGAGCTGTATTTGATATGTTTCCCCAAATATTGTTGTTACAGAATGCATATTACGGCAGCGGAGGACAACAATAACAAATCAGATGAACAATATATATGAACCGATTTCGTTCAATTTTGGCATACTTTATTTCAGGCCTAATTTGATTGTATGTGCAAAATTCCATACTATTCGGGCTGATATTACACGTTCGGTGCACAATAAAAGCAAATCGGTCAAAGATATATATGGGAGCTATATCTAAATTTTGACCGATTACCTCAATTTCAATAGGGTTTGTCCTTGAGACAAACAAATGTTGTTTGGAAAATTTCATCTCAATCGGATAATAAATGCGACCTGCATTTTGTTCAAAAGAATACATGGACAGACGGACTGACATCCATAAATCAACTCAGAAAGTGATTCTATGGAATCAAAAGTAACTATAGGTCTATCTCAATTCCTTCTCCATGTTACAAACAAATGCACAAAGACATAATACCCTTACCACTATGTGGTGAAGGGTATTAATATATATTGGACTCAAATGGTAATCGCTCCGAATTATCATCACAAATCTGGATCCATTTCATACTGCTGTCATTTTTAAGCCACTCGTCCGATAGTTGTTAAAATTATTCCAATGACAGCTCATTATATTGCTTACAAGCGCACAAAAGCATTTTGGTGAGAATTTTCCAAAAAAAAAAAAAAAAAAAATATTCGTGATGGAATTCAAGCGTGATAGTTCGATTTCTTTATATTTTGCTGGAACACCACAAGTGGCTATCGTTAGAGCACTCCAGTATTTAAATGTAAATAAACCTTTTGTGTCTCGTACCATCGCTTGTTACCGTGATACTGGTAGCGTAGCCCAACGTTAAGAAAGTGGACGAAAAAAACAGCAATATCAGCAGAAATGATTCGAAAAGTAAAGAAGCGACTTGATCGAAACCGCGCCGCAATATTCCATTCGGCAAATATTGAAAAATGAGCTCGGGATAAAGTCATTAAAATTCCAAAAAGTGCAAGAACTTACACCGCTACAGAAAGAAAATAGACTCAAAAGAGCCAAAGAGTTGCTTTGCCTGGCCTGAAATGTTGAACTGCCGAATTTGGTTTTCTCCGATGAGAAAACATTCGTTGTCCAGCAGTTTGTAAACAAACAAAATGATCGTGTTTACTTGCCAAAGAGGTCAGATGAAAATGTGCACCTTCGGTTGGCCACCAGAACTCAAACTCCGGCCATGGTGATGGTGTGGGCCGCCATAACAGCCGATGGTCGCCCTTCGCTCGTATTAATCGACATTGGCATTAGAATAAATGGCGAATATTATCGCGATAATGTTCTGAAGGGCGTATTAAAGCCTTGGGCACCCAAACATTTTGGGCGCTGACCTTGGACATTCCAACAGGTGAGTCCTGTCACGCGCCGCCCAACAATGGTTACAAAATGAGGTTTTTCTCTTCTTTCCAGCGCACAATTACCACCAAAATCTCCGGATACCAATCCGTTGGATTATTGTGTCTAAAAGCAAGGTTGGCAGTAAAAAATTACAAAGTGTCGATCACCTCTTGCAAGCGCGTCGCCGAGAATGGGCCAAAATTCCACAGAGCAACATTCGGGCAACATGCGACGGTTTCATAGGCCGTTTGAAGGCCATAATTCATGCCAAAGGTGACCAATTCGAACAAATCTAAACTTGTTCTAAAATTTGATGCTATTTCCGACACTTTCATTCAATAACATTTTAAAAAAAATTTAAAAATTAAGGCGTTTGGCTTTGTTGCAGTTTTTTATCTCACCCTGTACATAGCTAGTTCGACTTAGCTCGCCGAAATAGGAATATTAACATATACTCGTGGGAAACCAATATTTTAAGATGTTACATAATTTTTGGCCCAATCAAACTTATGATACCCCCAACACATTATGTTAAATCTTAAAATATTGGTTTCCCACGAATATATGTTAATATTCCTATTTCGGCGAGCTAAGTGTAGTTGTATGGAGTATATGTCAAAACGTAGACATTTATGGGCACACAGCATTTATGCATCATTTATAAACCATCTTTATTTCGTTCGGAAGCTAAAGTCCACATGCTTTGTCCGTGTAAATATCCAGCTAAGATAAATTTTAAATTCCACGTTCACAATCCTCTAAGGATCAATTAAAAAGTTTTAAGAATCTGCAATTAAAGCGTTCCAGGTATATATTCCTCCAGGAAGTCCACCGTATTTTTAGGTTTATAAGGATTAACCACATTTACCTCATTAACTAACTTTTGTATTTCCTAGAAAATACCCAACAACATAGAGTGGAAAGATCATATTTAAGTCTTTACGTATTCCACATTTTAGACCTCTGAAGATCCTCAAACAAATACTTTAACAAACCTGTAAGGAAAGGTCAAAAATCGGGCGGGCCGACTATATGATACCCTACACAACTATGCATATTTAGTAGAGCTCTCGTAAAAAAAGGTTTATGTTGGGCTTTTCTGAGCTGAGCTGAGATATCTGGTACAAAAAATTATTATTGTAGAGTGCATATTCCGAAAGTGGGAGATTTAAAAACCAAATCGGACAAATTCGGTTGGAAGTACAAAAATTCTCTCCATTTGGGCTAATATTAGCCATTTGTGCGCAATTAACATGAAAACGGATAATGATATACATATAAGAGCTATGAGAGCTCCAAATCTGAACCGATCTTTATAAAATTTTTTTGACTGTATCTGATATCTGCTGCAAAATGTTATTATTGTATCGTGCATTTTAAGAATTTGAGGTTTAAATCCATATATCAAAAACGATTTTCGCTAAATTTTATGAAGTTGCTTCTAGGCTGAACTCGGTCGGATGTACCAAAATTCAGGACATTTGAAGTGATATTTTCCATTTAGTGCACAATTAACCTGAAATCAGTTGAAGATATATATGGGAGCTATATCTAAATTTGAAACGATTCACACCAATTTCAATAGGGTTCGTCCTTGGCTCAAACAAATATTTTTGGAAAATTTCATCTGAATTGGATAATAAATGTGACCTGCATTTTGTTCACAAGAATACCTGGACAAACGGATGGGAGGACGGACGGACTGACATGCACAAATCGGTTCAGTAAGTGATTCTATGAAGATCCTCTAAAGTAACTATGGGTCTACCTCGGTTCCTTCTTCATATTACAAACAAATGTACAAAGACATAAGACCCTAGTATACACCCTAGTATAAAAACCCTCTAAGCATCTGTCAAAAAACCTAAAAATTCCCGCGTGGGTTCACTTAATACATATTAATAAACCCACATAAATAACCGCTTCCATTGGAATGTCCTTAAAATCATATCTATAGCCCTCTATGTTGGGCACGTTTAATGTAGTACTTTTTTTCTTTTTTTAGGATGCCAACGAAAATCGTGTTAAACAATTCAAGGACATTCTGCTTGTGCAAGGTGTATTCACCAATAAATTCAATTTATCTGAACATCCTGCATTGGGCGTTTGGCAAATTTTGGTAACAATCACGGGAAAATATTCATATTCTCAAATGAGCAGTTTTAAAGTGAAAAAATATGTCCTACCCAAATTCTATGTCACCATTGAAAACGCGAACCATGTCACACCGGAAAATCCAATAGTCAAGCTGAAATTCTATGGCAAATATAATTTTGGAAAATATGTTGAAGGCAATGCCACCATTAGAGCAACTGACTGGAGGGGAGATCCCATAATCGCCGATCAACAATTGGATGTTAGTGGTGTTGAAGCCTTCGATATTGAAGTTAAAAATTTCGAAATCTATAGGAATCTTAACGGTGTTGCAGTTACGGTAAGGCTTACCGAGAAGTACACCCAACGCACACAATCGGCCACGTCATATTTTAACATACAACAACAGCAATATAATATTATAGCAGATCCAAATGATATAGAAATCAAAGATGGGAAACCAGTGCGTTTGAAAGTTAAAGTTCAACAGTGGAATGGTACCGCTGTCCGAGATCGTAACGAACCGGTGTATATGATACATGGTGAGAGAACCTATAAGAGCCAATTGGATGATAAAGGAGAAGCCATGTTTGAATTTGAACACGAATCGGAAGCGAAACATATTTTTAAATATCGAGATTCTTCGGCTATTTTACCGAACATTTACAGCGCTGGCGATGACTCAAAAACTAAAGAGGAATTTTTCTGTAAATTGACATTACTTAATGGCAGGTAAGTAATGCAAATTTTAAAGTCATATTGGGTAGTTAAAACTGACCGACCGAAATCGGCTGAAAAATGTATCCGGGGGCTGCAAACAAAGAGAAAATTAGGAATAAATATTTAAATTTTTATGTCCTCCACCATACATATTATGGAGGGTATATTAAAATTATTCCAATGACAGCTCATTATATTGTTTACAAGCGTACCAAAGCATTTTGGTGAGAATTTTCCAGAAAAAAAGTTATTCGTGATGGAATTCAAGCGTGATAGTGTGATTTCTTTATATTTGGCTGGATTTTGGACAGCAAGGTTGGCACTAAAAAATACCAACGTGTCGATCACTTCAAGCAAGCGGTTCGCCGGGAATGAGCCAAAATACCGCAGAGCGACATTCGGGCAGCTTGTGACGGTTTCATTGGCCGTTTAAAGGCCATAATTCGTGCTAAAGGTGACAAAATTAGTTCCATTCGTTTTCAAATTATCCTCTATAAACGATATTTGTTACAATACTAGGTATTGTCGTTCCCTACCGAATTTTGATTTTTCTTTACAGATTTTAAATTGTTAATATGTTTACAAATTTGCTGTAATATTTATTTATTTATTACTATTAGGCCTAAACTTGGAAAAATTATTGAAATTAATGTTTCATCAACGAAGAATATACCCTACATCGTGTACACTGTAACTGGCCATGGAAATATCATACGAACGGAGTTAATCAAACTTCCAGCCAATCAAAAATCCTATACCATTCAATTGATGTCTTCCATCGAAATGATACCCTATGCCCATATTTACGTTCATTATGTTTACGGAGGAAACTATCGGTATGAGGAAATGGTGCTGGATTTTCCAAGGGAATTTGAAAATCAGGTAATATCACCTCGAAAAAGATTGACACACTCATTATCAAACCATTTCGCTTAGATTACCCTTTCGGCCCCGAAGGAGGCCAAGCCTGGACAAAATGTCACGATTAGTATAAAAGCACAACCGAATTCATATGTTGGTCTACTCGCCGTGGATTTGGGTGTATATCTCTTGGATAGCAGCTACGATTTGGATGGTAGACAAATATTAAATGAACTAGGAAGTGATTTGACTTATAGTCCCATAAAGTCATTACTTTATCCTGGTATTATTTCAGGGCTTCTAACACTCACTAATGCCCATTATCCATTCTCCATGGTAATAGGTAACGCCAAGTGGAATATACAAATTTTGTAATATATTTTTGAAAATAAATTTTTCTAGAGCACCATAATCCAGTTTCATGGGGAAAATTTCCAGGTGATTTGCGAAGTAAATTTCCAGAAACATGGATATTCGAAAACCTTGATATGTAAGTTTGGAACCCCTCGCAACACAAAACTGAATAACAATTTTTATTTTAGAAAAAATGAAAATACCCAGCTAACTCTAGAAATACCCGATACAATTACCACTTGGCGTATAACAGCATTCAGCATTCACAATAACACCGGCCTTGGAATTGTCAAGGAGGCCACAAATATTGTAACATTTAAACCCTTCTTCCTTGACATCATCCTTCCCTATGCCGTTAAGAAGGGTGAAATGATAACCCTGCCCGTAACTGTGTTCAATTATCACAATACGAGTCTAAGTGCCGAAGTTACGCTGTACAAAAATGGGGATGAGGAGGACTTCGAATTTAGTTCTGGCAACAAACAGCAAGAAACTAAAAACATAGAACTGCCAGCAGATGGCATTGGAGTTGTCGAATTCACAATAAAACCCCAAAGTCTCGGCAATCTCAAATTGAATATATCTGCCACGGCGTCTGGTGACCTCTTTTCAGATGCTGTACTCCAGCATCTGAGAGTTGAACCTGAGGGCACTGGAAACTATCAAAACCAAGTAATGATACTTAAAGTGTCTGGCAAGGATAATGAATTTTCTTCAAGTCTGTCCATCAAAGTTCCTTCCAACATTGTCACCAATTCGGAATTCATAACCCTCTCCATGGGTGGTGATTCGCTCGGTCCAACATTGGAAAATTTAAATAATTTGGTAATGAAGCCTACCGGTTGTGGTGAACAAAACATGGTGAATTTTGCCCCTAATATTTTGGTGCTGCAATATCTCAAGACCATTGGCAAATATGGCCAAGAGAAAATGTTAGTCAAACAAGCCAAGTCATTTGTGGAAATCGGCTACCAACAGGAGTTGTCTTTTCGCCATGCCAGCGGAGGGTTTAGTGTTTTTGGTGAAAATCAAGACAAGGGTGTAGCCAGCACCTGGTTAACTGCATATGTTGTCAGATTCCTTATTAAAGCTGCCTCGTTCGTTTCGGTGGAGGAGAAAGTCATCAGAAGCGGTTTGGATTATTTGGCCGGCAATCAGCAGCCGGCCGGAGATTTTGCGTATACAGGTTATCTGTTCTATCCGGCGCAACAAAATCGTTTCGGGTTCACAGCATTCGTATTGATGACTTTCATGGAAAATAAGGTAGGAAGATTGACCACAGAAAAAAAACTATATTGGGGCAATGAAAATCAGTAAAAGTCGAGCGGGGCCGACTATATGATACCCCACACCACTATGCATATTTAGTGAAGCTCCCATACCGAAAAAGCCTACCAACTATGAATCATATATTAATTCATATCATGGCTTTAGAGTAGTTGTAATTTGGAATCAGAGGGAACTAATGTAGGTAAAGAATATGAAACTCTGAATCGATTTCTACCAAATTACCTGGTCATTTGAACCTCTAATGCCACAAAACACTGCTATAGAGTGCATTATATCACAATTCGCTCCATTTCGGCGGATGATAGCCATTTGGTGCACAATAAATCTGAAATTCGTCGACTATATATATGGGAGCTGCATCTAAATTTGGACCGATTCTCGCCAATTTCAATAGTGCTCGTCCTTGGGCCGAAAAAATGATATATGGAAATTTCATCTCAAACCGCCTTTTGTTCACAAAAATACAGGGACCGAAAGACGGACGGACGGATATCATTAAATTGACTCTATGAAGATGCTCAAAAGTAACAATGGGTCTATCTCGTTTCCTTCTCCATGTTACAAACAAATGCACAAACACCCTGTGGAGTTGCGTAAAAATATTTGTAGCCTACACCAACACCTTAAGAGGATGTAAAACGATTTTATACCCTCAAACAAATGGCTAGAGAGGGTATATATCATTTGACACAGCCAAAACGTGTCATATCGAAATAACGGAAATTTAGATCAGGACAATTGTTGTCCATCTGACAATCTCAATCTGCTTGCTTGATGTGATCGACACTTTGGTATTTTTTAATGCCAACCTTGCTTTCCAAAATACTCCAGACACAATAGTCCAACGCTTGGTATCCGGAGATTTTGGTGGCCATTGTGCGCTGGAAATGAAGCGAGGAACCTCATTTTGTAACCATTCTTGGGTGACGCGTGCTGAGTGCGATGTCGCTGAGACCTGTTGGAATGTCTAAGGTCTGCGGCCAAAATGTTTGCGTGCCCAAGACTTTAACACACCCCCAGAATATTTTCGCAATAATATTCGGCATTTATTCTTATGCCACGGTCGATTAATACGAGTGGAGAGCGACCATCGGCTGTTATGGTGGCCCACACCATCACCATGGCCAACCGAAGGTGGACATTTTCAGCTGAAGTAGACACGATCATTTTGATTGTTTACAAACTGCTGGACAACGAATTTTTTTCCCATTGGAAAAACCAAATTCGGTAGTTCACCACTTTCGGCAAAGGGAACAACTCTTTTGTTCTTTTGAGTCTATATTATTTCTGTTGCCGTGTAAGTTCTTGCACTTTTTGGAATTTCAATGGCTTTTCCCCGAGCTCATTTTTCAATATTTGCCGAATGGAATATTGCGATATGTTCAGCTCACGAACCATTTTTCGGTCACTGCGACGCGGGTTTCGATCAAGAAGCTTCTTTACTTTTCGAACCATTTCTGCTGATGTTGCTGTGTTCTTCCGTCCACTTCCTTGACGTCGGGCAACGCTACCATCAGCGATGGTACGAGACACAAAAGATTTAATTACATTTAAATGCTGCAGTGCTCTAACGATAGCCACTTGTGGTTTTTCAGCCAAATATAAAGAAAACGTGATAGCTTTAATTCCATCACGAATAACTTTTTTTTCTGGAAAATTCTCACCAAAATGCTTTTGTACGCTTGTAAGCATTATAATGAGCTGTCACTGGAATAATTTTAACAGCTGTCGGACGAGTGGCTTTGAAATGACAGCAGTCTGAAGTTGGTTGCCGGTTTTTCATCACACCCTGTAGAATATATATATTTCGCTATATATGTAACTGAGATGCGGATAGGAAATCTACTGTTACGGACAGAATTGACCGTTTCGTCAATTTGTGGTTTCGCCGGGATTAAAAATACTCGCGTTTTTCTAACACAAAAGTTTTGGTCTACTTCACCCGCTAAATATTAACCGATGACCAATTTAAAAGGCTTCTGCCCAGTCCTAATCTCTAGCCCCATGCTGAATACCGCGTCAATTGGTCTATAATTGTGACCTGTAGAGCAACTGCAAAATCAGAAAAATTTTCTGTTTTTGCTCCATTTCAACCCCTAAATATTTTGCTGTCATCTCCAAAAGAAATAGGCTTGTATTCTGATCCTTACCCCACCGAGCATAATTTCCTGAGGATCGGGCCATAAATGCGATCTGTAGCGTGATTACGAATTGACATGGACATACATAGCTAGACCGACTCAGTTCGACGAGATAGGAAGGTCCATATGCACTTTTCTATGTGGAAAACCAATATTTCGATGTGTTACATAAGACACTTCATATTTAAAAAGGTACGGATACTGAGGATTCTCAATCCGAAAGCTTCCAAAGATTGGGAGTGGGGGACTTGCCCCCTCTATTTATGGTACTATTAGAAAGATGATCGCGAAGAAAAGTTAATTTATAAGGAGTCCTAATTGAAAGAATTGCATTTGTTATCCAATTTAATAGCTAGTTTATCGTTTTATTCCATTTTATACCCTCCACCATAGTATGGAGGGTATATTAAGTTTGTCATTCCGTTTGTAACACCTCGAAATATACATTTTAGACCCACAATTTATATATATTCTTGATCAGCATAAAATTCTATGTCGATTTAGCGATGTCCGCCTGTCTGTCCGCCTGTCTGTCCGCCTGTCTGTCCGTCTGTGGAAATCACTCTAGCTTCCGAACGAATTGAAGTAGATTGATAAAATTTTACTCAAATGTATAGTATGTCTGCAGAACTTTTGGTATTGAAAATGGGCCATGTAAGTCCACGTTTTGGTATAGCCCCTATATAACCGTACCTCCCGATATTCGGTATTTTGATGATTTTAGCGACATTATTCACCGGAATTGTTTCAAGATTGGTATTTGATGTTCATAATGGATGGTACAGCCTATGACATGACATTGTCTGTGCAGGTCCACGTCTTCGTACGGCCCCCGTATAACGGTACCTCCCGATATTCGGTATTTTGATGACTTTAGCTACATTATTCACCAATTTTTTCCAAGTTTCGCATTTGAATATTGTAATGGCTTATGATAAAAGTTACCTACGCAAGTCCATGTCGTCGTATTGACCCTAATATAACAGCTACATTCGGTATTTCTAAGATTTTAACAGAATTTTTAAATGAATTTATTGTTTTTGAGAATTGCCAAATTCGTTCCAATTGGTGGAGGGTATTTAAACTTACAGCTTTTCTACTTGTTCTTTATTCAAAAACATCTCACTTTATACAAATTTCATGAACCCTATACCTTTTCCTCTCATGCTTTCAGAAATATTCCAAAAAATATAAAAACATCATTGAAAAGGGCTTGCAGTTCTTAAACGGAAATGTTGATAAAGATCACGATGTCTATGCCTTGTCAATTATGGCGGCAGCTTTTGGAATGGCAAAACATGAAAATTCCACGAAAGTTCTTGATAAGCTCTTGGCAAAAGCTCTCACGAAAGACAAGCTACGCTGGTGGTCGGCCAATGATAAGAATGGAGAAAAGGACGTTGAGATAACTGCCTACGCCCTGTTGGCCCTCTTGGAAATTTCTTCTGGTGATGATCATTCCGCCATTTTTGAATGGCTAATGCAAGAACGCAACAGTAAAGGTGGATTTCAGTCAACGCATGATACGGTTGTGGGCTTACAAGCTATTGTAAAATATTCCCAAATCAACTCAGCGAGTAATAATCAGCAAATAAATTTACGCTATGCAGCCTTGGATGATAAAGGTCGCGAAATGAAAACAGATGAGTTTACCATAAACGGGGAAAATAATTTGATACTGCAAACGCATAAGGTATGTCAGAAGAATTGTGGAATTTTAAACATCTAAGAGTTCTAATTTTTTCTCCGCAGTTACCACGCTCTACCCGTTCCATTAATTTTAAAGCTACTGGGAATGGTCAATCCATGTTACAACTCTCTTCCCTGTACTATATAACCGAGGAAACAGGACTAAAACATTTTGATATAAAACCCAAGGCCCATCGAGTGAATGTGCTGGAACTTAATGTGGAAATTTGTTTCACTTATCTAACGCCTTCATCCAAGATGGCAACAAAGAAAAATGATGATGACAATGGACCACACTTTTCTAATATGGTCATAATGAAACTTAATTTACCCTCAGGATATCGCACGGGTGCCGAATTGAGTACCAGTCTTTTGGAAAATGAACTAATACAACGTACTGAACCGAAAAATTCCCAAACTACATTAATAATCTATTTTGATAATTTGCAAGCCGGCGATGAAAATTGTATTACGGTTCCGGCTGATAAGACACATGACGTCATCGACCGCAAACCGGCGGCCATTGAAATGTATGATTATTACAATGCGAGTCGTTCGAATACTGTATTTTACACTATAGAGTAATTAAGCAAGTCGATAATTGTTATATCCTCCATCATAATATGGAGGGTATATTAAGTTTGTCATTCCGTTTGTAACACTTCGATATACATTTTGGATCATTCTTGATCAGCATAAAATTCTATGTCGATTTAAAGTCTACCCGTTTGTGGAAATCACTCTAGCTTCCGAAGGAAATGAAGTAAGTTGATAACATTTTAAATAAAATGAAGTAAGTTGATTGATTGAATTTTTAATGCGTTAATAAACAAAACGATTAGAAAAGCAGTAACATGACATGCATACACGAAGGGTTTGTCCTTTGGATTTATTTATTTCATAGCAAACACCAAGCGTGCAGTAAACTGCAATCTTTTGAAGTTGAGTGGCATTTCTATTGCAATTAGTGAATTCGAGATAGCAACATACTTCGCCGTAATAAGCGTATTTCAAATTAATTGTTGTGTTGTTTTTTAGTGTTAGCCTAAGGCGTTATGGGCCAATGGTCCTTATTAAAATCATATCCCAATCTGATCCGATTTAAATACAATTTTAAAAAAATTACTTTTACACCAAATTCCGCCACAACTTTCATATTTCATTGAAATTGGTGCGTCAAATATGTGAAATCGGCCGAGAATATATATATGGGAGCTATATCCAAATCTTAACTAAATTTCAATTAATTTATCACATTTATTATTATAATAAAATTCCGCCACACATTCTGAATTTCATTGGAATCGGTCATCTATATCGTGTTTGGTGCATAACATGTATGAAGTCGGCCGAAATATATATGTTAGCTATATCCAAACCTCAACTGATTTTAATATAATTTGGCAATTTTTTTCTGGTGCCAGATTTCGTCTCTCTCGCTTTGGGTGCATCAAATATGTGATATCGGCCGAGAATATATATGGGAGATACAATCAGATCTGAGCGAATTTGAATATTATTTGTCAAATTTATTTTTGTACCAAATTTAGTCACTTATTTCGAATTTCATTGGAATCGGAAATATGTATCGTGTTTTGTGCATCAAATATGTGAAATCGGCGGAAAATATATATGGGAGCTATATTCAAATCTGAACCGATTTTAAAATAATTTGACTAATTTATTTTTTAATCAAAATCCCGTCGCATATTCCAATTTTTTTTTGGAATCGAACATACCTATCGTGTATGGTGCATTAAATACATAAAATCGGTCGAAAATATATATGAGAGCTAATCCAAATCTGAACCGATTTTAATATAATTTGACTAATTTATTTTCTAATCAAAATCACGTCACACATTCCCAATTTCATTGGAATAGAACTTACATATCGTCTTTTTGTGCATCAAATAAACGAAATTGGTTGAAGATAGATATGGGAGCTATATCCAAATCTAAACCGATTTCAATATAATTTGACAAATGTATATTCGTTTTATTTTCCGCTATACATTCAAAATTTCCTTGAAATTAGAGATACATATCGTGTTTTGTGCATCAAATACATGAAATCGCCCGAAAATGTATATGGGAGCTACATATATCTAAATCTGAACCGATTTCAATATAATTTGATAAATTTATTTTCGGATCTCCACTTCCAAGTGGAATTTCATGTTGCAGTATTCATGCAAATTTTCAGGAAAATCTGTTCAGCGGTTTCCGAGTCCATAAATTACAAACAAACAAACATTTTCCTCTTTTATAGATATAGAAGAAGAAGATATCTGTAGGACATTCGGTATTGAAAATGGATTTTGGTATAGCCACCATATAATGGTTCCTCCTTATTATACACTCCACCTTGGAAAGGAGGGTATATTAACTTTGTCATTCAGTTTGTAACATCCCTAAAAATTCGTCGTAGACCCCATGATGTATATATATTCATAATCAACATAAAATTCTAAGTCCGTCTGCTGGCCGTCTGTCTGTTGAAATCACGATACAGGCCACGTTTTTTGACGTAGAGCGTCAAAACTTAGCATGTATTGTGTCTAAGATGGTTGGTATTGAAAATGAGATATATCGGTTCAAGTTTTGGTATAATCCCCATATAACGGTACATCCCGATTTTTCGTATTTTGATGATTTTTGCCACATTTTTTCACGGATTTGCCAGAAAATTGGTATTTGTAGGTCATAATGGGTCCTAGTTCGGGTGGCGAAATATTTTATGTATGGGTCCACGCTTTGCTATAGCCCCCATATAACGGTACCTCCCGATTTTTGGTATTTAGGTGATTTTTGCCACATTTTTTCACGAATCTGTCTGAAAATTGGTGGCGAAACATTGCATTGCATGGTATAGTCCTCGTATAACGGTACCTTCCGATATTCGGTATTTTGCATGAATATAGAATATGCACTCTACCATAATGGTATTTTGTACCAGATTTGTAATAGAGCTCAGAAATTGCAATATAATACTTTCTTTTACGAGAGCTCTACTAAAAATGCATAGTGGTGTAGGGTATCAAATAGTCGGCCCCGCCCGACTTTTGAGCTTTCCTTACTGGTTTAAATTGTGCGTGGGAGACCCCATGACATTTTTGATCATAGTGCTGCTTTCTTATATTGTTCATGTTTCTACCACAATTTCCGACTGAATGAGTTTGACATTTCGGAGTTTATTTCATATAGACGTACATCCCAAATCATGGAGGTTACAAATTCAATAGAATACAAAATTTTCTTTTCTGACCACACATTGGGGGCTTGAGAGTACCCTAATGTGGAACTATACTTAAATAAATGCCTATGTATGAAAATTAACTCTAAGATGGTTCCTTACTCCAGTAGCTTAAATACAATTTTGTAGCTAAATCAATTGAAGAATGGGATCAAGATGGACCTAACTCCGCAAATTGAAAATTTTATGAAAAGAGGTTTTCTACAACCTTAGAAACAAAAATGCCAAATAAAGGCCAAAAAATGAAAAAAGTGGCCTTGACCCCGAAAATAGCTTAAATCATACGATGTTTATACCAAAATGTGATCATTTTTTGCAAGCATGGTTTCTTCTCGAATTACCAAATTTCCCAAAATTAGTATGAAAAAAATATGGTTAAAATGTAAAATATACTTGAAAACTAATTGTACAATTATACGGGGGTTATGGCCCATATTATGATCTACACAGGCGATTTAAGGTATCTTGAAAGTTAAGGAATAATTTCTGGAAGGATAGAAATCCTTTTCTTACTTAAAGTCGAATTTCAGGTTCTATTTGTTCACTTAATACACAATTGTATTAAATGTAGTACTATTTAGTATTGTTCGCGCACTTGTAGTGTACTTTTCCAAAAACCACCGTCCATCAACGGGTACGCCATTACAAAATTCCAATATGCCAGCCTCATCTTGTATGAAACATATATATGGGAGCTGTAGCTATATCTGAGCCGATTTGCACCAACTTTAAAGTACTTATTTCTATACTAGATTCGGTCCGAAGTGCCAAAATTCACACCATTTGGACTGATATTAGCCATTTGGTGCACAAGAAACCTGTATATGGGGAGCTATATCCAAATCTGATACGATCTTCTTAAAATTTGTCAATGGTATCCAAATATCACTGTTGTCGAATGTGTATTACGAATGTGAAGGACTTAAAAATGAAACATATATATGGGAGCTATAGCTATGTCTGAAGCGATTTTTACCAAATTTGACGTTCTTGATTCTAAGCTGAATTCGGTCGGAAGTGCCAAAATTCACACTATTTGGACTGATATTAGCCATTATGTGCACAAGAAACCTAAAATCGGATGAAGATATATATGGGAGCTATATTTAAATTTGGACCGATTTTCACAAATTTCAATAGTGATCGTCCTTGAGCCAAATAATTGTTATTTAGAAAATTTCATCTCAATCAAATAATAAATGCGATCTGCATTTGGTTTACAAAAATACATGGACAGAGTGATAGACGGACGGACGGTCAGACGGACATGCATAAATCGACTCAAAATGTGGTTCTATGCTGATCACCAAAACGAACTATGGGTCTATCTCGTTTCCTTCTCCATGTTACAAACAAGACACAATGCCCTTACCACTATGTGGTGGTAACTAACAAAAAAAAATATAATAATTCCATTCTTACAGCAATGGGTGTAAAAGAGTAATTATCTTTGGCAATTCTGAAATCATTCTGCCGCTAATTTTGGGGTGGACAAAACTAAATACCACGCAGCACGTTATTCTAAACGTTGGAAATGCAAATTCCAAACTACAGCTAATTTGAATGGAAAATGTTGCTACGATCTTTACAATACCAAAACTTGAGTTGGGTTTTCACCTGGGGCTATTATAGATGTTCAATATCATATAGATTTTTAACACTCAAACTAAAGCCTATGGCTGAAAAATAAGATCAGGCTATTCAAGATGTCTAAAACCGACGATTTTCAATTTAAAAATTACTCTGGTGTCATTACTTATAATAAAAGTTGTGCCTGTGATTTATTATGCTTTAAGAAATATGTATGCTTTAAAGACTAAAAGTACGGGCCGGCAACGCGGACCGGGCCAGCTAGTAGAATATATTTTGACATTTATTATTATTATTTAAAATGTTGACCCTTTATAAGGGAGCTACCGAAGGAGTAGGACAATAAACATTGAAAGCGAAAGGTTTGGATAATCTATCTATATATATATAAAAATCAATTGTTGTTTGTTGGTAACGGAATCAGTTGAAAACGGCTGGACCGATTTGCATAATTTTTTGTAAAAACTTTCGTCATACCACAAGCTAGGTTTTTAAAGGAAAAAATATAGACACGCCCACTTTTGCGCGATTATTGCACGAGATACTGTTGACTTTCCATCCCCCTCTAAGTATTTATTTTGGGCTGAGGAATAGATGATATCGAAATAAATAATCTCATTGCAAAAATTCTCAAATCGAAAAAAATCGAAAAAAAATTCAATGGAATCGAATTTTAAAATAATAGTACATTCTATTGACAAACTTTGTAAGGAGCTTTATACATTTGTTCTAAAAAATCATCGAACAAGTTGAAGATTTTTTCTATTTGTTATTCTTCTTTTCAACTCCAGGACCTACATCGTGGTTCAGCTGGAAGCTGTGAATACATTTAAACAAAGAAAAATGACCGAAAAACCTAATTTGGCTCATTTCAAAGCTTGGACCTACTTCTTTCATGTGACAATAATCCGTCCAATGAGAGCTCAAAATACAAAATTCTTTGGGAGTACAATCAGTAAAATACC